CTTGGCATAATCTTTGAACATCCGGCCCAACCCGTATGTCTTGAACCCGATTGTGGTCCGACCCACGGCTCCCTTGCCGTATTCCTTGAAGGTGTCGTTCCCAACGTTGAACGATTGCCCGTAGTTCTCGAAACTCGCCGAGCTCAAGCTAGATTTTGCAGCGTAGCTCTGGAATGAATCCTCGCCCACATTAGCACCGTTCCGATAACTCGTGAATGTTTCGGATCCAGATGAAGAGCCGGTGCCGTAGAATTTGAAACTGGCTTTCGGGTTGTTACCTGAAGTAGCGTAGGACTTAAAAGTGTCGTTTGCTCTTTTACCCGACTCGCCATAACCCGTGAAGTCGGATTGCAGTATATTGGAGCTAACCGCGTAGTTAGTGAAATCCCTGGGTCCCGCTTGACCTTTCTTGCCGTAACTCGCGAACGATTGGGTACCAGAGTTGGTTTCATTACCATAGCTGGAGAATGACAGCTGGCGGTTGTCGGCCCCGGAGTCGTAGGACGTGAATCGGAGATTGGGAACGTTGACGAGCTTGTCGTAGTTGTTGAAGCTACTGGAGCCGGAGGTGGCTCAGACCCGTAACTGGTGAAGTTGGTATCTGCTACATTGCCGTTTTCTGCGTAGTTCGTGAACCGTTCGTTTTGGCGGATCGAGCCTGGGTTGTATTTTTTGAACGAATCATTGATGTTGTTCAATCCACCTGAGTAGTTCTTGAACGATTTGACTCCGCCGATTTGAGACGATCCGTAGTTTGCAAATTGTTTATTGGAGTAGAGGGCGAAGTTGGCATCGTTATTGCCGGTGCGATTGGTTGCATCGGAAAGTTGTGTTGACGAATCGAACGAGCAGCACAAATTGGCTAAGGAGCAAAGGGAATCGTAGCGTGAAGAGAGGGTTTTTTGGGAGACGAGCTTTTTGAAGAAGGCGTAGTCATGAGGGGAGAGAGGGGAAGCTCTGGAAAGCAGGAATTGCGGGACTGGAAGGTTGCTGGAGACATGGGTTTTCCAATAACGAACCAGTGAGGATCTGGGAGTGAATGGGTTTGTTTGTTTAGAAAGTGATTGCGAAAATGCCTCCTTGTTGATTGCTAGACAAGCCTGCATTTATAAAGAAAAAACATTACACTTCAGAGTTCAGACTGAGCAAATTCACAAAAATACTAGAAAAGGGTTACGCAATGGACTATGGTGTTTGCCAGACACATTCAAAAGTTCAAATGCAGATTGGCTGGCTCTTACTTGGAAAGATGAGAGTGACAAGAACAGAAGGATGAATTGAATACTCATGTTGAGCAGCGTGAAAGCACCGGGAAGAAGTGGGGAGGCCTATGAAGAATAAATAGGCGCTCGGTCTGGAGACAGATATCAATATGCTCTGATTAATGTGGGTAAGTTTTGCATCAATAAGTAAGAAGGTTCTTTTTCTTTTTCTCCTGCAGCTAAAGATATGGGACACAGGCTTTTTAAAAAGAGCGTGAGAGCTTTTTCCCTCATTGAATTTGCTTGTCACTATAGTCCTTTCCTTCCCAAGCTGAGTGAAACATGGCAGATGCTGGCGTGGACTTGTTTCTACCGTGGAGGATGAACATGGGTTAGTGGAGTATAAGTGGGTTTCCCTTTATTTTCCCCCTAAAAAAGAAATCTGAGAGTTTAAGTAGTTTTAAATTCTAACCTATGGTAGCGAGGTCGAAAGTTTTAAATTCGATGGAGGATGCAGGGCTCACAAAACTGGGCTCTGAACATTCAAATAGAATTTGATAAATGGGGAATCTAGCCAGTGTTAGAGTGCGAACTGAGATATAACACATGCTTCGTTTTTGACTTTGGCCGGCCATTAATTCTATACAGCGTGCATTGCATTTATGGCTAACCACTAGCGGCCCTAGAACGGCGCCACGCGCATGTCGTTTAACAGCCAATGTCAGTTTGAATCCGATTCCACTAGAGGTCAAGTGGTGTCCAGTTACAGACTTACAGGTCTCAGTCAAATCATTAATCATGCTTTTTATTTTATTGCACACGCAGAGTGAGAATATGTTGGAAGCATTGTAGGCATAGTTAATAACGCATAAGTTGTGGTGGACAGGGATTAATGGATATGTCATTTTAAGACTAGAGTGTGAGAAGCATGAGCAACAGTGGCTACATGTCGCTTCTTCATGTTTGTGTGTGGTTTTGGGCTTTAAAAAAAAAGAGAGGCCTCAGAAAGGTAGTGAACAAATTAAAAACAAGAGGCCTGAGTAAACAAAATGTGTAGTGGACATATCCTTCGGTATTGATCCCATCTTGGTGGCTTTTGTGACATCGAACGATAATGGGTATCGGGATATGGGCTTCAAAATGGCGTGCACCGGAAGCGATGCACTCCCCGCACAAAACACTAGATAATTCGCACATAATATATATATATATATATATATATATTAATTTTATTTATAAATCAGTTTTAATATATTTAACTGAAATTAAAAAAGTTTAAATTTTGTAAGTCTTTTCAAAAAAAATAATAGGCTTTTAACTTTAAATTTTACTCTTATTAAATATATAAAATTTAATATTATATTTTCTCTCATCAGTATTTAATAGTAATTAAAGGAAACAACTTTTAATGAAAAAATTGTATTTTTTTTGTGTGCCAAGAGTAATGGCATGTTTTGTAAATATGATCAAAATATTTATTTCTCTCTATCTTCTAAACATATCTGTAGGGAGTATAAAAAAACACATGATGATTGTTAACTGGGCAAGCTCTTAGGTGCTTGTCTGGAGAGTATAACTCCATCGGTTGTACGCAGCATATGTGGAAATGAAACGCTATAGCGTTGTGAATAAAATTATAGTAAACCCAAATAACTGAGAAGTGTGTCTATGGGGTTTGGATCAAACAAAAAAAGAAGTTTGTCTATGGGTGCCTTTTCTAGTATTTTCTTGTTCTTTTTCTCGTCTGACTGGTAGGAAATGCTTTGCAGTGAGTTAGTGACTAATGAATGAAGGAGGAAACAAAATTTTTGCTCTGGCTTTAAAGAGATGGGAATGGTGTCCAGACTCCATAGTTGCTGGACACGGAGATGCTATGTGTTGAGCGGGTCACAAAATTGTTGGATGTTTGAAATGTACGGTGGAAAAAAGAGGAATCTTTCTTGTTCCGGTCCGTCTCTAACGAAAAAGATATATTACAACATGCCTTTTACTAAGAACCATCCGAGATTGAATTACTTATTTGAAAATACATAACTTTAGATCTATATATTTTAATCATGTTTTGTTATTGATTTTTATACTTTTTCTTGTGTTTCAAATCTCTATAATTTTATTTTTTAATATGTTAAGCCCTTACATTTTATCTATGAAAGGACCTAAAACATTAAAAAATAAAAATATAAATATATAAACATTGAAAAAAATAAAGAAATTAATAACAACACATAAATAAAGTATAAAAACTTAAAATTATATTTTCACTAGTTATCTCTTTGAGATCATTGTGTAAAAATCCATTGATTTACTTTGTTACTTTGACTCTTTTAGAGAAATTAAAATACAATTGAGTAAAAAGTGTTATACAACCACCTTGCTTTATGCATCATTTGATAGTATGAAATTGAGATTGGAAAAATAAAATTGAAAAATTGGTGGAATTGGCTCTCACTTTTATATCCATAAAACCCACCTTTTTCATGAAAAAAGAAATACCTTGCTTCTATATGTTTATAATTTTATCTTAAATTTGCTCTTATCTTTACTTTCACTTCTATCAAAAATTCTTTCACACGATCAAACCAGGCATGTACTTTTCAAAGAATGGAGACGAAGGCATCCCACTGACTGCTGCTTTAAAAACCTCACTACTATGCGTACTAGAGCATGGTATTTTTTTGAGTAGATACTACTCAAAAGAAAAAGACTTGTGCCCAATTGGCAGGACCTTATCCCACATTGGTTATGAATTAATTATGACAACGAACACGACTAGTATACAAATTTATGAGTCTTTCCCCACAAGAGAAGAGGAAACAGTGGACTTGTATTTGTTCCATATGCATGTCATTTCGCGGCTTCAACTCCAGCATCGCAAGCTGTGCTCGCACAGTCATTCAACAATGAGAGGATGTGCATGCAAGCCATGCTAAATTATATTTCTATATCGACTTCACCCAAAAAAGAATTACATTGATTTAGACAAACCAACATTGGGTGGTCCGGATATACCATATTTATTGTGAGGCTAACAGGTATGCTAATTTCCTAGCCAGCTATGCACTTTACCCAATACCTTGGCTTCCATTTAGTTGAAGATCCACTCTGCTGGGTGGTCCAGTCCCATTTTGGCACTACTATCCTCATGTTTACACATGGTTAGTGCAAAAGCTAGTTTGTTTGACATTAAAAAGTAATTTCAGTTGATCTACATACGAGTGTTGTTGGGAAGACCCTGAGGTTAACATGGGGCCGAACACATTCCGGTATTTATCCCAATATTCTCCCAACAATTTTTTCATGTTTAACTAATTAATATTATTTTTTTAAAAAAATGTTAAACTAACGGATCCCAAATCTGCTATGATTTGACAAAAAATCCCCTAAAATCATATATCTTATTTCTTCAATCTTTACAATTAGAATTGTGTGCTACAACGAATTGAGATTTCGAGTTCGAATTGAGAAAACTTCCACCAACTACATTTACTTAATTAAACCCCACTTAATTTGAATAAATAGATTTTAGCTCAAAAGAAATTGTCAACCGGCTAAGGCTTGCGCTCCACTTGAAATCGAACTCAGAAGAAGCAACCAGAAAGAAAAATAAAAATAAAAAAAGTGACCGAAAGAAGTTTCAGGTCAGTTGCTTGCTTTTTTTTTTTTTTTTTAAAGGTCGGTGACTGGACAGCGAAGAAACTAGAAAAGCTCTTGACGTCGTGAAGTAACGGAGAGAAAAAAGAGAGAGAGCAAGTTAGCTCTTTTTTTTTTTGGGGGGGGGGGGGGGGGGAACAAAAAAGTAACTCAGCCTTGAAGTCAATGTTGTGGCCCGTATTCTACATCTTCCTCAACTGTATTACTGTTTTGCTCGCTCTCCATCCTCCCTGCACCGTTTGTTCATCTGTTTCTCGGCCTGTGCAGATATTTTGGCCTTCGTCACGCGATCCCATTCATGAAGTATTTCACTTCGATTTCCCTGTATCTGGTTCATGCATTTTCGGCTGGTACATTATAATCCTCGAAGGCTTCATTTTAGGGTTTTCTAAAATTGGTTGCCCTTCCATGGCTATCAGAGGAGTCGATTTTAAGTGGTTCGTCTCAATCCTCTCTATCCGTCCATTTTGCTTGTGTATTTCTAGTGCGATTGCACGCGCAACTTGTGTTCTACTTCTGATTTTAGCTTTGGTTTTTGCAGGTACGATGGGTTTTTCTTGTCGATGCTCGCCACCAGCGTGTATCCTTTTAATTTCTCTGCAAGAATTGAGGTTTTGGATTCTTTAGTTGCATACCATTATCCCGCATTTCGAATTCACTCACGGTTTCTTTGTTTTTCAGCGCACCCTCACCTTCACTCCCTCCCTCTCATACAGAGGATTATAATTCTATTTGTTTTCTTAAGTCATTTGACTTATAGAGTTATTGTCGCGATTAATTGGAAGCGGTATCATACCTGTACACACCCTTTGCACATATGGATTGTGGTGAGTTCCTCCATTGTGATATGCTGTTCGGCTTTCTATTCCAAGTTTATGGAAGTTTGGCCCATAATAATGAGTTGCTGTCTATTTCGTTGTTCAGGTTGACTACTCTACTGTGTTTATCTTTCGGTTGATGATGTTTGTTGATAATGGACTTTCTGCCGGAATGGGTTTGTAAGGCCTTCCGTCTAAAAATTTTGCCCTGACTATATGATAAAGATTTGTGTTGTATTTTTCTTAACATTTATTTTAATTTTAAATGTTGATTGAGCAGAATTTACTTTGGGCTTATGCTTCAATGAAGGAAGCATTGATAAAAACAGTATGAAAGATGAGGCGTGGAAATTCATAATTCTCATTTCTTCCATGTGTTATAATTAATTAAAGATCTGCCAAATATGATTGTACAAATACCTGTATTTTGTGATTAAGAACAATGCACAAGATCAAGGTGATCATAGCATCAACTAAAAGCATGCTGATATTGGTGTTGAACTCAATCTGCATGACGCTAACACAGCTGTATTTGATATTATATGGAATTATGGATTATAATAGCACCACTTGGTTATAAAATTGTAGAGAAGTTGATGCGATAGCCTAGTTATCTAGTTGGAATATTCAATGCAGGAATGCCTGGAATGTGTGGTGTGGAGTGAGATAAACCTCTGTTAGGCAAGAAAAGAAGGGGTTTAATTGAGATTTGTGGAAAATTAGATGTGGCCATGGGATTGTTATGCCTGGTGGTTCTATGGAAAAGACTCTTCCAAAATATGGAATTCTGGAATATAATGCTTGCATACATGATGTAGATCATTTAAATGCAAAGTCATTCATGGTCACTTTCTGTCATGGCTGACTTCTAGGATTTCACTATATGGTTAAATCCACTGTAGTGTTTCTGAATCATTAATATGTCGTCAAGGCAAAATGAAGTTCAACAATGTTATGACCAGTCAAATCCAGGTGCTGATTCAGTGTTGCTTTCATTTTCCATTTTTCCTGCTGTTCTCGTAGAGACTTTGGGTGGCAACAGAGATATGCCCGCTTCTGTGGAAGAGTAGTGGTCCTTTCAATACTTGCTTTGCTTCTATATCCATTTCTTTGGGCTTGGACTATCATTGGTACATTGTGGTTCACTAGTGCCAGGAACTGCGTATGTCTTATTTTGATTCAAACCTCAATGATGTTTTTGTAGAAAGATTTTAGGCACATAATGCAAATATTTATCTGCAGTTGCCTGAAGAAGGTCAGAAATGGGGCTTCCTCATCTGGTTACTTTTCAGCTACTGTGGACTACTTTGCGTTGCTTGCATGTCATTAGGCAAGGTTAGTGGTACCCTATTATCTGGTTCATGAGAAAAGTTTATTTTTATTCTGCATGTTATGCATTGCTTATGTCCAGGGGACTATCTGCTGCCCCTTCCTGCCATTTGTTATTCATCTTTGTTGTCTGCTGGCTGCTATTGTGGTATACTGGCATTCTCTTCTTGATCTAGTTCAACTTTTTTGTTGCAGTGGTTGGCCCGAAGACAAGCACATTTGTTACGTGCCCAGCAGGGTATTCCTGTGTCTGAATATGGAGTAAGCCTTCAACATATTATACATGGCAGTAATAGTTGCATATCTCTTGGAAACTCCATATAGTTTACGGCATGAGGCTCCTCAAATTGGAGCATTTCTAACATAACCATGAACAACATGGAAATGATTTTCTCCTTTTCTTATTTTTGTTTAAATGAGAGGGACTGAAAAATTATTTTACTGTGTATTCTTGTGGCTTTTTAGTCTACCACTGCCCTCTATTGATTGTTGAGATTTGAATTTCTATCAATCTGATATAGTATTGAAGCTTGCTCATTGACAAATTTGTATTGTGATTCTTTACTATTTCCTTTCTAGTTTTTATCATGATGTTGTACGCTCTAACTTTCTTATCTTGATTTGGTTTTTGGGAACCTCATCATTTTTAGCATTTTATGAATTTGAATTATTCTGGTAACTGCGCCTGTTTTAATGCACGTTGTGATGATTGTGTTCTGAGAGAAGTATTTCATTGCCATCATGAATGATCTTATGGACAATGGATTATTACCATTGTCTCACTTCTGGCTTCTTTCTCGAGGCAATAAAATTAGCATTACGCTGTCTCTTCATTTCATGGACGTTTCATATACAGCATGCATTGGAGTGTGGCCGTGATTATGTTCTTAGGTCTAATAATCTAATTGTATATTCATTTCCGTTCTGTTTTGTGATTATGTTCTGTTAGTAATCTAATTGTAGCAATTACTCCCCCCCTTCCTTCTCTCTCTAGGTTCTGGTGGACATGATCCGAGTGCCTGATTGGGCATTTGAAGCTGCTGGTCAGGAAACAAGGGGTATGGGCCAAGATGCTGGCGCATATCATCCTGGTCTATACCTAACCCCGGCTCAGGTAATTTTAGCTGATATTTGAAAACGCCTTATTTTCTATTCAAAAGTTCTGTAAAGCAGTGTTACCTTACTTTGTTCTAAGCACAGTGAACATCACAAATGATCATGAATAAATTCCACTACTTAAATTTTCTTCATGAAATAGTCATACTTTGTTCTTTGCTAGCTTGATGTTTATAGGCGACATGGATGTGAATGACTATGCTGTGTCATTTCTTTGTAAATCATATTTAAAATTATCTTTTGCATATTTATTGACTTTCACAGCTGATATTTTGAGTGCTTTTATGGGTTTGGCACAGAGAGAAGCAGTTGAAGCTTTAATTCAGGAACTCCCAAAGTTCAGGTTGAAGGCTGTTCCAACTGACTGTAGTGAATGCCCCATCTGCTTAGAAGAATTCCACGAGGGGAATGAGGTATGCTTTTCACTATTTAAGGGTCTAAGCATAAGGGATGCCTTAAGATGTTTGTTGTATTGTTGCTCAGAAACATGTTCTTTAATCAATTACTTGAAAAGCTAATGGGCCCTTTTGTACCAACTGAATATATATGGGGCCATATATGGCAATAATAAACAATTTAAATTTTAAATTGCTTTCAAATTGCTTTATATTTTCCTGTGCATTTTGATATTTAATTTTCTGTGTACCTCTAATTCTGGGAGCCATATACTTGTAAGAAATTTGAAATGCTATAGGTGTATAGAAAATAAAGTTTTCAACTTGATGCAGGTCCGTGGTCTGCCTTGCGCTCATAATTTTCATGTTGAATGCATTGATGAGTGGCTTCGCCTTAATGTAAAATGTCCTCGGTGCCGCTGTTCAGTATTTCCAAATCTTGACCTTAGTGCTCTGTCCAATCTCCGTCCTGAATCAGAACGATCTTCTGCCAGTGTTGTAACGACAACAAGATATGTGAGAGGTCAACCCTCTAGTCAGAGTTATTTGTTGAGATTACAGGGTCTGCTCCGCCCAGTGCGTTCAGAAATCGCTGGGCCGGGTGGTGAGGTGCGTAATACTTCACAAAATGCAGAGAATGGTAGTGTGCCTGTCGTAACACGAAATGCATCAATTGGAGACCAAGGCCGTTCAGTCGAATGCATGCCTGTCAGTCTCTCCTCTGCACCAAACTAGAATGACATTTTCATTACTTCTGTCATACTTTAAATCCATTCTAAGAAATTGAAGTCGAGTATCCATATCTGGCCATTTTATGAAGCTATATAAAATGGTATATACATAACCAGAAATTTTCGCATTTGATCCATGATGAAATGGATCTATTTCCTTCTGCGGGAAGTGACAGAAACCTGAAAATACCAGCCCGCCCGGCCCAAAAAGGAAAGGTGGGGCGGGCATCCGAGCCTTTTGGTATTTGTTTTTCTCTTAGCTAACGTAGATTAGAGATGCAGACGTGTAATTGTTTTTTGTTCAGCGCAATGTAAAGAGTTAAAAATAATTGTAAGTTGAATTTGGTCCCTTCTTTTGCGCCCATTTTCCCTGACATCCCTTTTTTCAGTAGTTCCTTGTACGGAATAAGTTCTTTTTACTTCAGGGCTGCAAGTGATTCTTGAATCTTGATAGATCAGTAAGTTGGAATATTTCATGGAAAGCTTGGTGATTAGATCAAGGGCATCACTTGATTTATAATTTTTTTAAACCTTTCTAAGAATCTTCTGTGTATGTTTGCTCTCATTGATGCTGGCCCGAAATTTTAGGAAATGTTTGGATATGTGCAAGGTATGATTTGGCGTTCACGTCTTACGGTTCTGGACAGGGTTCTATACTTTATGTCCCCATGTTTGTTTGACCCTGCAACTTCCTTGGAAACGTGGTTTTCAATATTTTATCGTCCGGAGTTGATGGCGTCAAAAACACTTATTTGTTCTTATTTATTGGAGAAACTCTTACTTTTATTTTTTTATTTTTTATAAGTAAAATCATATGCACATTTATTTATATTAATGAGAAATAATTAATGTATATTTATATTGATCAATATAAGGTATTTTAGTTTAACTTTTTTATTTTATAAGCATAATTATTATAGTTAATTAATTTTTTAAAAAATTGAGTGACACACACGCACAAATATATGAAAGGAAAGAGCACCCAATACCCAACTTTGAGGGGGTTATAAACTGTTGAAAATAGAATTTCGATTTTGGCCCATTCAAGTAAGTGTGGTGTAAAAACCACCCCGGGTCTGCTTCAAACATCTCGAGACTATATCTGCTAGGGTTAACAATCAGTGGACCTCCCCCTTGATTCATTTTACACAATCAAATCAGATTCGGCCACTTGGGGTTGGCTAATAGACAACTACAGATTTTTAGGAATGGAACCTGCACACATGGCGCCGATCCTTTTATTTCACATGCCATGATTTTTAAAGAATTTTTGAGTTGTGAAGCTGTTGTGCTTAGAATAGACATATTTGTTTTTTTTTTTGGTAATATTTGTTTATTTATTTTTGATCCAAAATTTGCTTCTTCTTCTTTTAACCTTCAAAAGCATTTCCTTGTTTCATGGTTATTTAATTTGATAAGAGAAATGTAATAATGTAAATAAAATAAATTGAACAAGAACCTTATTTTGGAAAAAAAAAATTATTCTTTCTGCAAATGCATAAATCGTGTTTATTGATAGAGCAATCGCTTTCCTGCCTATAGTTTGACCGATATTGAAATTATAAATATTTTTTACTATTATAAAAATATATTAATTTCTTTATTTTAAATTTACTTATTTTGAAAAAATATATTTAAATAATGGATATAAAAGCATAAAGATCAAATATAAAAATTAAAAAAATTCGTGAATAGTGTTTACTAATTTCATATAAGTGCATGAAAAATGCAATATTCTGTCACCAAATATGGGCATCGTTTCCATAAAAAATATGGGTAAGGCATGTCATCCTATGGGACGAATGTGTGCAGAATTTAATCTCAGTAACATAAAGAGAATAATTGGTAACCATTGTTTTTTTTTAAATAGCGAGGAAAATACCATGTTTTGGACTTAAAAAAAAAGGAGAGTAAACTATGCTATTTAACTAAAATAAAAGTAAATTATTATTCACTTTTTAAATTCTAAAGAAATATCCCTCTTAATTTGTTGTAATTTCACCCTTTATAATTTGTTTTTTTTTGGCAAACATCCAATAATCAATTTATCATGAAAGAAAACAAATTCAATTAATTATTTATATTTGCCATCAGGAGAGCAGTTTTACTTTTTATCATTAAGCTCTTGCCAACGATTTTCTAATTTTTTCCTGTACCATGATAATGACGTACGAAGACAAAGTTTATCTCTATCCTCGCTGAGTCGCTTGTTGCTGTTAAGTCCAATTCGCAAGACAGCTTCCCCTGAAAATCGAACCCTTGCCTGAAAATAAACGGCGATAGACTGATGGTGGTGACGGTGGCGAATACGTGGGCAGTGGGACCCCTCTCCAGCTCACAACCAAGACCCTTCTCTGGTTTCGATGTCTACGCCAACCCAAAGAAATCAGTCAGCGTCAGCTTCTTTCTTGGTTGGGGCTGTGCTGTTCAAAGCAGGCTATCGATCTTCTCCCGTCGGAACCGCAAGAATTCAGACTTATGTTGCCGTTGTGCGACCACCACTCACGACAGCAACGACAATGGTAATGTTCCTTCTTCTCTGGATTGGGATTGGAACCGATGGAGCCGCCATTTCTCTGAAATTGAACAGGCTGAGAACTTTGCCTCTGTTCTTAAGGTGCACCTTTTGATTGCTCATCGTGATTCACTTTGGTTCGCTTTGATTTCTCTAGCTTCCTGTTTCTTTTCTTTCTTTGTTTTTCCCCCTGGGTGTTTGTGTGTTTTTTTTTTTTTAATTTCTATTTCCCTTTCCACCCTAGCTCTATAGACTTAAGTGTACATTTTATTTTGCCAGTCTCTCAATCGATCTGACTGGTCCATGATGAGTGAAAAGCCAAGAGCACTTTTAGTTGTGAATATTTTCGAAATTCTTCTATATTCAGCGAAATTGTCTCTACGAAGCGCGTTTCCGGATTCTCCAATTATCATTTGTTCATTAAAGTTATGAAGAATGCTATTTGAGCGTCGTTACGTTAAAGAACGATTGCCTTGCCGTTAGTGAGAAATCGAAAACTGTAACAAATTTTGGGCAGCATTTCAAAGATGATTTACTGATGCTTAAGTATATGCAATCATTCTATGCTTTTCAGTTTCAACTTGAAGAGGCGATTGAAAAGGAAGACTTTCAAGAAGCAGCAAAATTAAAAAGGGCTCTGTCTGAAGCAACATCAATGGATAGTGTTGCTGATATCATGTCTCAGTTGAAGGCAAGATCAAATTTCAATTAGTTAGAGTCTCCCGACTCTCAACCCTTCTAATTATTGTAGGGTCTATAATCTTTGTTGGTGACAAAATTTTCTCTATATTGCAGAGTGCCATAGATGAAGAGCGATACCATGAAGCTTCAAAATTATCTAGACATACTGGAAGTGGACTGGTATCTTTCTCAATTGCTACTTCTACCATCCGTTATTCTACAGCGCTTTTTTATGATCTATTCTCAAGAACATTGGTGTCTTTTTACTGAAAGATTTAATTTTTTTCCCCCTCTAATGATTATTTCTGCTGGCAGACATCTGTGCATTTTGCCCAAGGTTAAAGCAGGAGTAATATTTGAATCCTAATATTATAGATATTTATCTTCTTTTCATAAATAAATAAATTATTGGCGATAAAGTGAAAACAAGACAAGATTGAACTTGGAATCATTGTAATTTGGAAACATTTAATTGGGAAATGTTACATGGTAGGAGGAAGTCAGCTTTACTTGTCTCCAGATTAAGAATCTTAAAAAAGGAAATTGTTCCCCAGATTTAGCTATTGAAGGAACAAGTATTTGTTAATAAATTTATGCTGCGGTCTGGGAAGAACCAATGTCCATCCAGAAAGATGGCTTGTAAATGGCAGCACAAATGCATTGGTGATTGTGAGAAATAATGATGGTCCTAACAGAAGCTTTACTAACAGATATGTAATTATTGCAAAGGGCTGTCTTAATGTCAATTAATTATTCTTGCCATTATGTGCAGGTGGGTTGGTGGGTAGGCTACACCAAAGATTCAGATGACCCCTTTGGCAGAATAATACGCATCAGTCCCAGTATGGGCAGATTTGTTGGCAAGAGTTACAGTCCAAGGTACGATCTTTCTTATTTCTACTTTGCCCTTCATTAATTTTTCAGCACTGCTTACTTTTGTTTGTTACAGACAGCTGGTCACAGGTTCCCCTGGGACTCCAATTTTTGAAATTTATGTCGTAAAAAACTCCGACGACTCATACCATATGCAGGTAATGTTCAAATTGTTCAACTAATTTGTTTTTATTTTTTTCCCAATAAACGATGCATGCTTTATATTTTCTGTAAAATGCCACAAACATGAGTTACTAAGATAGTCATAAGGGGTACTGTCCCTCCAAAAAAATGTTTACTAGTGGAATTTGTCGATCTAACAACTAGAAATACCTCCAGGAATAGGGTGGAAGGATGAGCTTATAGGTTCAAACCTACTATATGTTTGCTTGTTGGTCTCTGACTACCTGTGCAGTATGCACAGTGGGAAAACAATCCTCGCAATGAAAATTTGTATTTGATGGGGATTTTTGGTGGTCTTGGATAATATCAGCAAAAACTTGCTTTTTCACTGGCCTGCATTTAGTGGGATTCTACTGTATTCATATCTTCCAGGTTCTGTATACTTCTGTAAGCAGTACATGTCATGTGTTTTGACAGGTGGTGTACTTGCGACGAGCTAAAGGAAATTCAACGGGTAACTCTCCATCTGTGCTTGCAAAAAACCCGTCCAAACCTGAAGTTGATAATGTTCCTTCAGTTGAAGTGCAGCAACATGAAGAGAAGGTTGAGAGAAGTGATGAGAAAAGCAGTAGTATTGAGGGAGCGACTGAGGAGGGCATAAAAAATGTCATCAACTTTCTCAAAGAAAAAATTCCAGGATTGAAAGTTAAAGTCATGGATATTGATGTTGAAGAGGAAGGGACTGAGGATAATGATCCTGTGAAGCAATTGATGGAGGAAGAGAGTAATAAAACTAACTCCAATGAGAATCCTGAAGAGGAAGCTAGTAATCTGGATGAAACTGATGAGGTCACTTTACACGGAGATAGTGATGCTGCTGGAGATGAAAAGGATTTGGATATGAAGCTTTTTATTGGTGGGGTTGTACACAATAATGAAGAAGCTCCTGCCAAAGATGAATTTATGCGTCTTCCAGCTGAAATAAAAGATTTGGAAAGGGATTCTTTTGTCTTGCATATCCCTAGAAGAAATCTAGACTATGATATTAGAGAAAATAAAGTATCCAATATCAAAGTGGCAGCTCTGGCAACACAAGGAGTCTCAGAGCTTATGCCTCCTGATGTTGCCAAGGCATTTTGGAGTTCTGACAAAGTCTCTT